GATAGATACAGAGAGAGAGAGATGATAGATAACATGAAACAACACTAATAAACCTTGTTTTGTTTTCTTTAAGAAATGTAGAAGTGGCCAGCAGAGCCTTTTAATTTGAACTTAACACTTTACAAATAGGGAGGACCCTTGACTTTCTCTAAAGTGATTCCACATAAACAACCTCATTTAACCCTCATGCTAACTCCTTGAAATCAACGGAGTATTATCATTCCACTTTACAAATGAAGCAAATGAGGCCCAGGTACATAAAATTAAATCAGAGACCATTGTGCTCAAAGAACCCCAAGAATGTAAATGACCTATGTTTTGGCCACATTTTTATAATCAGGCAGCACTTCACAGCTGGCATCAAAGCCTGAGAGAAGAATCTCTCTTCACACTGACTAAACAATGGAAAAGATGAGCTTGTAAAGCAGTCAGGACAAAGAAAAAAAAATGTCCTGGTGCCATTTCTGGTTCTAATTCCAGAAGCATTTCAGACGGGTGGAGAAGCAGCACTGTGTTTATGAAACAGAGATAAACTACAACCCGGAAAAGCCAGACCTTAGTCTGGACAATCTCAGCACAGCTTATGTGGGTTGGAGCATTTATTGGATTTCTGTGAATTTGGGGACAGCGCGATTTATCTATAAATAAAGATACCTAACTTTATGATTTAATTCTTTAACTTATTGGTGGGGCATTAGGAGGCAACTTTCAAAAGCAAGAGATTTACACCAAAATCTGTATTTCTTGCTTCTTCCAAAGCCAAATCATCTGCCATCACTGGGTGAGATCCCAGTCTGGTGAGTCTTTGCAGCTGAGCAAGTGGCTGCTGCTTTCTCTAATCAGGCCCTGACCTCTCCCAGTCTCTCCATCCCTCCTCCTCCCTACGGTTTACCTGCCTGACTCCTGAGCTCAAGTCGCCATGAAGGCAGGTGGTCTAGGAAGGTGGTAGTGGTCAGCCATGATGCTACATTAAGATAGTAACTCAGGCCACATTGTTTTCAAATAAGGGAGAGTGGGAAAAAGTGTAGGACACTGGTCAGGCAGTGACACTGGGGAAAAGGAAGCTGAATTATTCCAGTATCATTGCCATTGGGTGATGGGCAGTGGGGGTGAGGCAGGGGGCTGGGTCCCCACTCAGTCTGTGACTCCTAAAGTTGCTTGAGAACTCCCTGTGGAATGGAGAATGCATAACAATCTCAGCGACGTGTGCTCATTTCACCAGTTGTCTGTGAGGGCCTAAAGATACAAGAGTGGGAAATGAGGTCAATGTCACCGATGGCATCTCAGAGGTAATTTGGTAACTCGAAAATTCTGCGACAAAACTCTAGAATCACACTATGAGTAGTAACTGATGCTACTCTGGAAAAAAAGAAGATTCAAAAAAGTTGTACTTCAAGCACAAAGGCTGAGCAAGTTGGCAATGTCTGCGGGGAGGGCCATATTGGGAGAGGAAGTAGGGTCCAGTGAGAGCTCAGAAGGTGAGAGAGCTGGGTTCAAAGTGAGGTGTCTGCTACAGATGAGGGCAGGGAGGAACACTCTGCACCTGTCATCTCTGGTCCAGGCGTTCCAGCTCTAGCATGTTTTAACTATCTTTCATGACAATTTGTTTTTTAAGCTGATTTTCCTACTTCCACACTGCAGGGTCAAGATGAAGGCAAAGCACTATGAGGTCAGGTCAACAGGCCAAGATAGCCCAAAGCACAGGCTGTAGCCAGTGCCACTGCTTAAGATTAGGATGGTTGCCCAGATCCTTGCATACGTGGCATTGAAATATGCTGGGACTTCCGAGTAGACGGGTATTAGAGGGATTAGTCCAAAATGGAAGGGAGCAAGGAGCCTAACCAGATGTAGAGCTGGCCTCCAAGAAGGATTCATGGGCTAAGTCAGATTCTTGGGCTCCCTCTAGCTTGACCTGGCATCATGCTTGGTGAGGTGTGACAGGATTGGGTCCTATCAGCCTCATGGGATGGGAATTAGGACACCCAACCAGTGCTTCTCAAACTTTAATGTGCCTAGGGATCAGCAGGGGAGCTATTAATCTTGAGATTGTTATTCAAGTCTGGGGCCTGAGGAGGGCCTGAGATTCTGCACCGGTGACCAACTCCCAGGCATGCTGATGTTGCCAGTCCGTGGATCACATTCTGAGTAGCAAAGCTCCAAGCCAGTAGTTTTCAATTTATTTATTTATTTATTTATTGATTGATTGATTAAGGTATTTTATCTCCTGATTGCCCCCCACCCACACTGCTTGTTTTCATTTTAGAGTTACTAGGGGAGCTTTTAAAAATTCCTGCTGCCCAGCCCTCACCCCAGAACCAATTAGATCAGAACCTCTTGGGCTGGGACCCAGGCAGCAATACTTCTTATGCTCCCAGATAATTAGAATGTGCAGCCAAGATTAAGAACCATTGCTCTTGGCATTGGGGATGGTCATAGCAGGTGCCTCCAGAGTACCAGGGGGTTCATCTGGCCCAAAGCAACTCGAAGGTGGCGTCTGCCAAGAAGGTGACCAGTTACTAGGTCACATCCCTAGTTCTGGAGAAATATGACTGCAGAAAGGGACAGTAAGGGTTGCTGGTGCCCAGGGTTTACCTCAAGCATCATAGGCACCTGTACATACAAACCAAGATCCAGATTTCCCCAACCAGTGGACCAGGTTCATGTAGATTCCAGAACTGGTAAGACAAGAAGCTGGAAGTTCTCAGTGTGTCATGCTGGTCTGATGTGACTGTTCCTCAGTCCCTAGCTACTCCCTACATTTGGAAAGTAAATTCTGCAGTTTCCAATCCCACTACCCCCAAGACCCTTAGCAACACACACTACTAATATGACATCTCCAAGACGCCATCATTGGCTGGGGACCTCAAGCCCTTGCAAAAAGGCAGGAGAATCTCAGAACAGATTCCAAACCCTGAATCTGGATCTTCACACTGAGGGCTGAGCACAGCTCTAGAAAGAGTGGCAGAGTTAGAGCACAGCCAGAGAGGAAGGGAAAGGCCCAGGCGAGAAGAAGGATGAAGGAGAGTGAAAAGACAGAACGGAAAAGGAGGGAAAGGAAAAAGACCAGAAGGAAGGCCCGGTAGGAAAGTGTAACGGAACCCTGGCAAATGTCCCTGGGTCCTTTAGGGACTGGGCCTGGGTCAGGAGTGGGCCAGCTCTAGGCTAAGCCCAGATTCTAGGAGGGTCAATGTTTTCAAATTTTATAATTTCTATGTTTCAAATAAGATTTAAAGGTCAAAGAATAAATTCAAAATGGATGGAGAGCAACATGCTTGGCGTGGAAGGGCCAGGTGGTAGGAAATCAGGGCGAGAGCTTCCCTTTAGTCTTGGCCATTATTATGAATGAACACAAGGACCCTCCATTAATGATAGGAGAAGACAGCTTTAACTTTTTCCTACTCTGAATAAGAATCTTGAGAATACTGTGAAATGTCTTCAATAAGCAAGATGGTTTCTTGACTTATGATGTAAGCCACTCATTTTTTATGCATTCTCCAAAACAGGGGTTCCAAAACAAAAATAAAAACCGAAGACAAAGGTTAGTTCTCTGAGACACATGGGGCAGCATCCCAGTGAAGCCCTCCCTTCAGTTTGGAGATGTAAGCTCACCTGTCAGTGGTCAGGGTGTGGTTAGTGCCCAGGGCAGGAGGGAGCAGGCCTTCTGTGGAATGCTCTGGGGGTTGGACAGCTCCTCAGTGGGGGTTCTTGTTCATGCCACAATGGACACCTATGTGCACAGACCTGATCCTTCTCAGCCTAGAACTGATCCCTCTCAGCCTCCACGTTACAAGTTCACTCTCCAGGACATCACCTCTTAACACTTCGGGGCCATGAATACCTTTTGAAAATGTGATACTGCATGTCAGTATCCTGGAGAGCATTTCAGGAGGTTCCCAGACCCCCGTGAACCCATAGACACAGCTTAAGAACTACCACTCTACAGGGTTTCAAGTCTCACAGTTTCTTCCAGCAGAAAGCACACTGCCCTGGCCACCACCCCTTGTCCCTTGAAAGCCTCATGAAACTAGTGAACACCCAGTGATATGAACTGAACTGTGTCACCCCAAAATTCATATGTTAATACTCTAATCCCCAATGGGATGGTATTTAAAGATGGAACCTTTGGGAGGTCATTAGGATTAGATGAGGTCACAAAGGTGGGGCCCTCATGATAGGATTAGTACCCTTAATGGAAGAGGAAGAGAGACCAGAGCTTGCTTGTCCTCTCTTGCTCTCACTCTCGCTCTCGCTCTCATTCCCTTTCTTCCCACAATGTGAGGACACAGCAAGAAGCCTGGAAGAGCTCTCTCACCAGGAACAGAATTTGCCACACTTTGTTCTTGAACTTCCCAGTCTCCAGACTCTGAGGAATAGACGTCTGTGGTTAGGCCACTCAATTTATGATATTTTGTGAAAGCAGCCAAAGCCAACTAAGATACCTAGACACTGTCACCATCTAACACCTCCATCTGGTCCACTGGGAGGTATAAGAGCCTCTGAGACATGGGTCCCCTCAATTTTGCCTCTTCTACCACATGGCCCGGAGGCAAGGATGGAGAATGCCCTCCAGAGTGCTATCGGGCACACAGGGCCAGCACTGAGGAGACCGCTGGACCCCCAACAAAGGATGGAGAAGCAAGAACAGAAGCAAAATGCCGGGGCTCCAGGCAGCCCTAGAACATGTGGGGAGGGGATAAGAGGATTGAAATCGAAAGGTCAAAGGGAAAGCTGGTGCAGAGCGGGTGGTCGTCCAGCCACGTTCCAGTAACGGCAGCTCACGTAATACCTCCACTGCACACAGCAAGGAACCCATACACACGGTCGGCTCTAGGCTGCTCTTCTACAGAAAACATGCCAGGTCTCAGGGCAGTATCATTAAATGGCTCCAACCAGGCAAAGCTGCTTACTCCCAGACTTTTAAACACCAATGCTCTCCACCAAATAACAGACCTTCACAACTCCCTGCTCAAAGCCAGTTCCCTCAAGCCTGGCTCCTGGGCCTGCCCTGGAGTCGTGCGGCTCGGCTTTGTCTCGCGCATGCGACTGTCCTGGCAGCCCTGCCAGGCTTGGCTCCTCGAGGGCAGGGCTGTTTTCCTTCTGCAGCCTTTGTGATCATTCCAGGAGGCTGGATTCCAGGTTCTGAACTCAGAGGCGGCCCAGGAATTATTGTTGGCCAGCTGCTTTTCCTGAGAAAGCATAATCAGACCTTTTGATTCCCACAGACACAGCACCTGTGTCCCTGCTGCTCTCCTCTCCAAGAAAAGGGACTCACTTCCTCATAACCCACTCACATCCCAGGCACGGGTGCTGGAAAGTATACCTGGGGTTTCGGCACACTGCACAGAAATAAAAAGAAATAAATAGTTCGCTTATCTGTGATATGAATGGGTTGGTTGTGTTTGGCCATCTCTGAGGTCCTTACCTGACCTCTGACTCTCAGATTGGGAAAATGGTATTCTGTAATGTGGCGCACACTGCTGCTTGACTACTCCATGTTCATCTTGCCCTCCCGCCTCACTCTCAGTATGCCAATCTTGTTCAGGGTAGCAAAGAATCCAGCTAAAATACCTGCCATCTTGGTGTCTCTTGGGTAAGGTGACCAGACATCCCACTTTAGGCAGGACAGTCCCGATTTTTAACAATTTGTTCTGCGTCCTGCAGCGTTTTTAAAAAGTCCTGATTATTTTACTATGGGGCAAGGGGTGAGCAGTGAAACCTACGGGGAATTCTGCTGGGGACCTCAGAACAAGCTTTGGCTTTTCTAATACAGACACCACCCCCCTCTGCTTTGCCCTCCCACTTTCTTGGTACCGGGGAGTCTGATGTGATGCTGGAGGTGAAGCAGTCATGAGGAGATGCCCATGAGGACAAGGGTCTACCTGCTGAAGATGGCAAAATGAAAATATGGACAATCCTAGGCCCCACTGGCACTGTTCAACCACTCCCCCAGTCTAAGGAGGCCCCGCTCAGGACTTCTTGTTCAGAAGATAAGGAGGTCCTTAAATGCTTCCATTGCTGTACTTCGAGTTAAGTGACATATATACTTGCAACCTTGAAACTCTTGTTCTTGGTTTTGTTTTGTTTTGTTTTTTTTTATTTTTGTTTTTTTTATCAAATAGCATATTTGGTTCAGGGGACAGTTTCTCAAAAGGGCAATGAGGGGGGGGAAAAATCCTATACACCAGGATACTTTGTTTTGGTTGGCAAATATCATAGAACAAACTTCATAGGGAGACGTCTACATTTCATTAAAAACCAGTGGAGGGCTAAACAGTCCCCCGAGCTGCCGGCTGTTTTGCAGTAATGTAGCTAATAGAGAAGGACCGAGAACCTCATTCAAATTTGTTAGCCTCTATCACTAAGGAGGTCTCTTTTGCAATCAACCCTATTATCAGCAATGATTTGTTGTTGTTGTTGTTTGAAATAAAATGCACAACTTCCGGAGAAGATGGAGATTTGGGCACAGGTTTCTAAGAGTGCCCTCCCAAAACCCAACTGAAATTTCCAAAATAATCAGAAGGCATTATGGGAGGGGCTCCATTCTCATGCCAGAACTCCTGGAATTTTTGCAGATAGAATGCTGGTTGGTCCAGATAAAAGAAGGCAGAGAAGACCAGCTTAGAACCCTGCTTCCCAAGAAAGATAGTTGTTTCACTGAACTCTACTTACATCGACTACTTTGGAAAGTCAAAAGCTGAATGTAGTTCAGGGAATGGGTCAGAAGGAGAGGGTGTTTTGGGTTAAGTGCCTTTTGCTTCAGCCTATGAATAGCACTCAATGCTACTCTGCTGGGAAGGCCCAGGGGATGGGAGTGTCACAGCCGAGGAGAGTGAGCCCTCCACGCTCCTCCCAGATGCGTGGGCGGTCCTGGCCTCACTTACAGTTCTTCCCCACTCCCCTGTGTTAATGGAGTCCTATCAGTCACCCCCAGAAACGCTATGTATATTAGAACAACACTTAAATGATCTCAGTGTCCAGCCATACGTGGTTATTTCGGGGAATGACAGGGTCAGGGAAAGGGCTGTCTCTTTTTGCCTTCCCTCTTGTGACCTGGTGACACCTGCCACCAACCCACCCCGTCAAACCTACAAAGAATGTCAATTCTGCAGAAGCAGGTGCCTGAAACATGGAAGTGCGAATCAGGTCATGCAAATCAATACCGGGCCTTAAACCTAAAAAGATTCAGGGAGGAAGTAAGGGAACTTTTGGGGTATTTTCCCTCCTAAATGTCTGGTCACAATTAGGGTGGTCAAAAGGTACAAACATATAACATGATGACTATGGTTAACAACATTGAGTTGCATATTTAGAAGCCTCTAAGACAATAGATCTTAAAAATTCTCATCATAAGTAAAAAATTATAACCATGTGAGGTGATGGATATTAACTAAACTTATTGTGGTGATCATTTTATGCACAATATACACAAATATTGAATCATTATGTTGTCCATTTGTGTCATATGTCAATTATATCTCAATAAAACAGGAGAAAATAAATCAATGATAAATACAAACAATTAGGTCACATTGGAGAGGCTTTATTCTAACACTAATTTTTTTCTTGAAATTTAAAATCCAGCAAGGATTTTCTTCATATGCTTCCCTGAAATTACTGATGTAGAAAAACAGAGGGCAGTGACCTAATATCTCCTAGGTAGCAACCATAGACAAGGCATGGAGACAGACACTATATTTATATCATGTCACTGGTCCTCTATCACAGCCTTGTGAAACTGTCTCAGAAAGATACCCAGAGTAGGGAGTGTCAGCAGAACCATATTGTAAACCCAGAGTCCATTCATCTATTCATTCATCAAATTTTAAATATATATATATTATTGATTTCAGAGAAGTAAGGAGAGGGAGAGAAAGGTAGAAATATCAACAATGAGAGAAAAATCACTGATCAGCTGCCTCCTGCAGGTCCCACATTGGAGATCGAGCCTGCAACCACTGAGCCGTGCAGGCTGGGCCATACATCAAATATTTTATTGGATACTTATGATGTGTGTGACACTTTTCTGGTAGCTTTCCGAGTGTGCCTATGGGGTGCTCCCAGTGGAGGCTGGAGCCGACGGGGCCCCTGAGCTGTGATCGGCCTCATCCGTTACTTCAATGCACCAGGCAGACATCGTTATTTGCTAAGAGTGTCATGCTGACGGAGTTAGGAAAGCACTGAACAAACAATGTGCCAGTAGTAACAGGCCTATGACGTTTGTGCTGACTCCAAAATGCCTGCCTTTCCTTCTGAAACACAGGGTTTGGGGGTGCAGACTTCTTCTCATGGGTCCTTCTCCAATGAAGATGAAGAATAAATCTGTGGACTAACAGATTTCTTTAATAAAAATGTAGATGTTTATTGGAAGCATATACAAACTCCATCTGGGCAGGGTGTCCCCAAATAGGAAAAACCTGTTCTTTCCCATGGACCCTCGTTATTTCTAAGACTCCCTAAAGCTGCCTCTTTTGCCTCTAAAATTCCTTTCCCTACTAGCCCTCTCCCCCAGTGAGTGAGCCATCAGCAGACCACAGGACATTCAGATTCCCACACCAGAAATAGGAAGGGTCGGAATAAGAAAGCTAAATACTCATCATGCTCAATCCACTCAACCAACCCACCTCTCAGCTGCGCCTGGCTTAATTTCAGTTTCCTCCTAGAAGTCTGTATTTAAATCAAAAGCAAACACTGGTCTCAACCCACCTCAAGTTTCTATTGTATAAGCACAGCTGAAAGGCCAAATGGTTTACTTGCTGCTTTTTTTCTGCCTCTCTTACCCATCACACATGAAAATGCTCTGATTCTCGGGGTCGCTGGGTGCCTCAGGTTTGGACACGACATCCTGGAGCCCAAGCCCTGGGGGTTTGACCCCCTCTGAGTATGTCTGTGGTTTCCTCAGGGGGGCCCCCACAGCCCCGCAGCAGCTCCTGGCTTTCCAGCTGCTCCCAAATGTAGGTCAGGGCCTAGGAGAGCCCTGGAAAGAAAACTTGCAAATCCAGAGCAGAACCAGAAAAACAACTCCTGGCAGTGCCTCAGAAATGAATACCATCTCAGGCTGGGGAGTTAAAAGTCCTAGCTACAGAGATGGGCTTCGGTTCTTTGGTTACAAAAAACATAGCGTTTCCCTCACTTGATCCATTCCTTTCCAAGGACAGTGCCCAGTGCCTAAGCCATTTGTAAATGGAAAGTAAGGAGGAGGGGGAGTTACACCAAATTTCAACATTTTAATGGTATCCTACTGAAATCTATAGAAATGCTCCTAAATTGTTTTAAATAAGTTTTTATTAAAACAAGACCAAAAAAAAAATCCTATACACACAAACATATGTTTAAGACTGTGGGCCAATTTGTCTTCTTGGACTACAAAAGGAAGCTTGTCTGTGACTAATTTTTAAAAGCAAAGCTAAAACCAAAAGCTGCCACAGGTGACTCCAGTTGGTGAATCCACAAATCAAAAGTTTATAACAGTGGCATGTTGCCGGTGGAGGAGGTTGTGCATGGCAAGGAGAGAACAAAGAGTTCATGGGAACACTTTCTGTCCATTCTGCTCTAACCTAACGCTGTGAACCTAACACTTCTAAAAAATTAAGTCTATCCTATATACCGTATTTTTCGGACCATAAGACGCTCCGGACCATAAGACGCACCAGTTTTTAGAAAAGGGAAATGAAGAAAAAAAGATTCTGAAACAAATAGTGTCCTAAAATATTTTATGTGCATTAAAACCCAACATCACAGTCATAAACACATGTAATCAACCCTGTAAAGTAAACAGCAGCATTTAGAACCATTTTAGAGCTGGGCAAGCACACAGAGACCACACAGAGCAGGGCAAGTAAAAAAAACTTTTTTTTTAAAGTATATGTGTAGGCTATATTTGGACCATAAGACGCAGGGACTTTTTCCCCCCACTTCTGGGGGGAAAAAAGTGCGTCTTATGGTCCGAAAAATACGGTAATAAGAGCCTAATATGCTAAGTGTCCAGTCAACCTGTCAGCCGTTCAACCAATCAAAGTGTAATATGCTAATGATATGCTAAGGCGGCTCAACGGGAACAGACAGTCCACCCGTCCACTAGTCGCTATGATGTGCACTGACCACCAGGGTGCAGACGCTCCAACTGGTAGGTTAGCTTGCTGCTGGGGTCCGGCAGATCAGGACTGATTGAGGCAGCTGGACATGCCCT